AGAGTAAACAGATTCGTCACAATCGATTACTGTAATCGATTGAATGAACGCCGTAGTAAATGTTCAATGAACTAATATCGAAGCGAATGCAGCTGTGAAATTGACCGTAGCATTCGCAGTGAAATGTGAGGTCGCATTCGATTATTTTGTTTTGTAAAATCAACTTACTTAATACATTTATTTTTTTAAGTTGATGATGATTAATTATAAAAATTATAGTCTCGGAATGCAGAAAGCAGACGCTACATAACAACTTGAGAGATTGATACTCAGCTAACTCTAGTTCAGATGCAATGACGATGTCAATCTAGCGGGTAAAGGGCCAGGATATTGCTATTTTTATGTTTAAAAATACATAATTTAAACTTAGTGATGCTAACAGCATGGGGTTAAACAAAAAGTTACAAGAATTTTCCATTGCAGAAATGCTGTTATTTCCACGCACATCACGCATTGTGTCTGATGTAAACTTACCAGCAAATTGCTATCAACCTTGATACATCACTCTAAGGGTAAATCTTAAACAAAGTTTGACAGGCAGACGATCTTCTGAAGATAGTTCCCAAACTAACTTGTAGCAAATTCTGAAAGTCTTATTACGTCAGTAAGGCGATAAAATGACCTAATAAACAGCCTTAATGAAACGATATTTAATAAATACTCAAGTAAAGGCCACAAAAGAAAATAAACCTCGTTATAAAGTAGCAACAGTCCAAAATTGCTCGCATAATTTCTTTAAAAGTACCTCATTATTTTTGTCGGCGAGTGAAAAGGGGAAAATGAGAGAGCAAGCACTTTCCACGTTGAGTAAAAAGTATAGAGGATCTCATATATTTTAATAATGTTAACATAAATTAAGGCGTTACTTTCAATAAGAATTCTGATGAAATACTTTGGAACAAACAAACATGATTGCATTTTTAATTGGGCTAAAATACTATCAATAGGACAATAATTATATTACTTTATGTGCATTTATTTTAACACGTTTAAATACTCTTCAAATCCAAATATAACCTTTCGTCTACCACAGACGGGTAGACCAAAATCCCAAAACACATCTACAAGACAAAAACAAATACCACTCAGTAAACAAACTCAAAACTCGTTCATTCCTAAACAAAAGTAAACGTAGATCTCCTCAATTATTTGGTCCATTCGGACTAAAGGTTATGCTATTGATACAACGAAAAAAGATAAACCTTATTTTATAAGAGTCAGGTTAAAGCAAAGCGAAGCCCACAATACACATAATAACGAAAACAAATACGTACTGGCTAACAGTGTCTAAATCCAAAAACATTCTTGGCAAACCCATTCATTTCCTAAACAAAAAGCAGCCGTAAATGGCTCGATTATTTGGTCTGTTCGTTTTACCGGTCAATGTCAAGGACGCTCGGTCCAATGGCTGCGACTGCGCCGTTTACGCAACGCGCATGCGCGAAACGGAACCGTGTTATACCGTTGACGAGAGAACTAATAAATTAATGCGATTCGCCGGCCATTAGTACGGTATATGAATCCATTTGTTTACCTCGTTCTATGTTTTTTTTTGGAGATTCTTTCTTGTGTATCTTTTTAAGTTTGGCGGAATTTGGAAACTTTCACTTAAGTCTGTCTGTGCCAGCGATTATAACCTGATCGTTTATTTTATTTTGTCTGATGACCATAAGCTATCCAGGTGCATCTTTACAATGAAGGCATTCCACGTTTAAAATTTTGATACCAATGTAATCCCAAACCTATCATTCAATTTTCAAAACTAGCTTACTTAATATGTATAATCAAAACTTTTCCTTGATCACTGCATAACACAGTTCACAGTAACCACCATACTTCCGTCCGAGGGCGGCTACCTGACCGGCCCACATTACCGATTCGCTCTGAATACGGAGACAAGTTTGTCTACCATTATACCAACACTATGTTATTTCTTTCGACTATGTTCTTATTATTTTCTATTGGAAAACTATGATCAAGTTCAATGAGCAAAGTTTCCATTGTGTTTAATGTTTCGATATTATTGTTAGTATTGTCTGTTCTTGTATTATTATTGTCTGCATTAGTTTGAGCTTCATTTGTTTTTGTGTTGTTGAACAAAGCTTCTATGTTGAGTACTTTCTTCTTTCGTCGTTTGTAAATGCTATGAATCCTTCTATGACTGACTGATGATTAACATAACATAACATCACGCCTTTTATCCTCGAAGGGGTAGGTATAGGTGCACATTATACCACTGTACAATGTAACACCCACTTTACACTATTTATGTTATAAGTCCTGTGTAATAGGGGGTGAGCCTATTGCCATATACTGGGCATAGGTTCAGACTCCGTGCTACTACTGAGAATTTTTTATAAACCCAGTAGTACTTTGCCCGACCCGGGAATCGAACCCGAGACCCCTTGCCCGGCAGTCGCAATTGCGACCACTCGGCCAACGAGGCAGACTGATGATTAATTAATTATAATTATGATCATTACTGAGATAATCTTTAATCAATTGATGTAGAAACAAAACGACTTATACGACGACGACAAAATGACTTACAATACCAAATAAAAAATCTTTCAACCCTTACGTAATAGAAAGCAATTCAATAATATCTAGGTCATTAAACGAAAACCTTTTCAAAGCATGTCATCTAAAAGGAACCAAAGATGAGTAACATATAAGAGTATATGAGGAAATTTTAAATACATCCGGGTAGCATTCGTGTGTAACATTTATTTGATGTTGGCTTTTCTTTGATATCTAAAGATTTTTCAATTCATGTGAGTCGTAATGTTGAAATTGAGATAAGTCTAATGGATTTAGACGTGAATGTTTTTTGATGCTGTAAGGGGCCTTTTATGGGTCATATTTAAAAAGAGATATATAATGGACCTAGTCCTAAAGGTTTTAGTTAATCAACTTGTCTACCTCTTTTCTCCCGTGAAGAAAATCTAAGTTTTCCAAAAAGCCCTATTTTAATACTAAAATCAGTAACTAAAGTTACTAGGCTGTAATTTACAATTTTATTGTGTATAAACTTGACCCATTAACCCATTTGGGACCAAATGTAAACTACACATAATTTAATAAAAAAAACTTCATTAACTCAATGATATGACGCCCACAAACTAATATCAGCAAAAAAAATTCAAAAAATATATTTAGAAGTATTAAAAAAAATGCCGTCCTTGATTGGGGACAACGGTCTTATATGTAGTACTTTTCGAAGTAGTAACTGTTTTCGACACATAAGGTTCTAACGCATTATTTGCATTGATATCACAGTTTTTTTATGACGAACTGCGTGTCGTAACAGATATTAACTAAATCTCTGCGGAAAATGTCTAAATCAATTTGATGTGACGTGCCTATATTTTTTTGAGGGTAAAAATCATGCATTGCTTTTTCCACCTGGGGGACTCTTACTGGCTAAAAACCAACACATTCCTAATTCTGCTTCAAGCCGAAGCCCCGGTAACCCGCCAGGTTATTCACAGTGGTCGGGCATCTGTCCCACTGAGCCATCTCGATCTAAGGCGGTCTGATCTGCACTTTGAAGCACGCGCGTAACGCCACACACCTTACAGGTACAGGTCTGGTTCTAGGCGGCGATCTGTTCTTGCTACTATGACTGCTTCGCAGAAAGAGATGTTTTCCAGTTCCCCTCGCTCCGCACCACAGCCAGAACCTAAGCTGGACGTGGAAGATTATCGTCGTCGATCACTTCCCTGAAGACACGGCGGTGGTCAACGTATACAGGGCATAATGCTACTCTATCCTCTGGGTGGACTTCGCTGTGACGACACCAGAATACAGCTGGAGGAAGAATGCCCCCTACTGCTGAATTCTGATATCGGATGCGACGCCTGGTACTGTAGGTGGACTTTTGCATCTTCGGTCTTGATGCCCATCAGATTTTAGAATATGAACGCGTAAAGATATGGCGGAATTGGTGATGCTCTTCGTGAATTAGCGTCTGTTGTCACCAAGTATTAGCTATAACTAAGTTTAGCCTATAGGTGACCTTTATAAATTGGAAAACAAAATATAAATCAGGTATAAATGTTTTAAAAATATACTACAGATGTGCCCATTGTCCCCATACGGGGACACCATCATTTTTTCTAACTTTCCCCTAAGCGGAATTGAAAGTATAAGGATATTCTTCAATATTGTTTTAATTGACACTATAAGCAAGCAATAATCACAAAAAAGTTTTATAAATCTTCATAATAACGTACTACAAAACGCCTCTGCTTTCGATAATAATTCCCATTTCACTTCCTCTTGATAAAATTGACAATATGACCCCTTTTTTGTAGCAATTTGTCAAAAGTTCAAATAATTTTAGGAAAGTACACTACTCCTCATTATAAATACCCATGAAATGTGAAGATAGCTAAAATAATTAATAACCAGCCGGTAAAAGAAAACCTGTCCCCATATGGGGACGGCGGGCCCAAATGGGTTAACGAAGTTCCATGAACTTTGCTTAGAAACAGAACAAAACAACGGTAAGACTATCAAAGAGTTAGTTTGCCTAAATACAATACAACATTTAAGCTCTCTAATAGTAGCGGGATTTCTTCATTTCAAGGCATCAACTTAACACTAATGATAAAGACTTGATATTGAGATGTGCCGAAGGTTTAACTGCAATCGTTAAACAGTGTCGATGTACGACCATAACCGTCATAATGAGTAAGGGCCAATAGGCCTCTGCATAGGCATTTCGTATTATAATTCACCTATTTGTATTACAATATTTAAAATGAAGAATTGGTATCTCGCAATATGTTAAAGGAAGATCACTTCATACCAGAGTCCATAATACATCACATCCGGAGTGGATAAAAATATGCAATTAAAATTTTGGAATATTCATTATTGATCGTCTTCTTGTAGCAACATTGTAGACTTAATGAGAATCAGCGTAATCAGCCAGGTCACATCCATGTCATTATAAAAAACAATCATTAAAACATAATTATCATCAATTAACATACCGTTGTCTTCGAACCACAAAACAGGGAACAGCAGTCAAAAAGTCAAGCAATGTTCCAAACACAACACAGTTCGCACACAAAAACGTTCCACAGATTTTTTCAAAAAAAAAGTTGTAAAAGTAAAGCGCACGTGCGCGGTAGTCGCGTGTTTGTTCGGACGCGGCGGTGCGCACGCGGCGGTGGGAGAGTGACAAGTGGATACTGCGCAGGTGCCAAGCCAACCTCCCTCTAACAAGGTCGCGTCCCCCTCTCTTCACACCCATTTCACCCGGAGAAAGTCTGCCTACATACATACCAAATTTTCGAACCGATTGAGCTGACTGAATTAACTTGGTACGGAGATGATGAATGAAATGTGTGGAAGGTCATCTTGTGGGATCGCTTTATCTCAGGGCGTTTCATCTCTAATCAGTGCGTCAGTAGTTGTTACAACATTCATCTTGTCTGCCGAAGATGATGTCTTCAGAAACAATATTTCAATCTTCTTTGGTACTGGAAGCTTATCAAAATTCATATCCCGTAAAGAGAAATTGTACTTTGATGTTAAAATATAATTTATTTGGACTTATTTGCGCGAAGTGATTTGCTTGATGAGCTTTGATTTATGTAGCAACGTATTTAGATGAGTTCGTAAAATATTTTGCATATAAAATTTAGATGCTTCTTTTTAGGTGAGAGTTATTTGAACTTTTCCGAGCGTATTGCGAAGTATCAGTTACTTAATAAACAAATTGAATGTTTCTAACAAATAGACCAATCGGAATCAATTGCTTGTCTTAATTATTATTAATTTTATAAGTAACCTTAATTAATTACGGTTTATCATTTGAAATTTTCTCGTAATTTTATTGATGCTTAAGTTTGAAAATTCATTTACCTAACTATCGGTAAAGCCTTTGGATTCCCAGAACTTGTCAGTTGCCACTCGTATTGGGTTTATATTTATATTTCAGGTTTGGTTGTAGAATGTTATGCATGTGGGTCTACATGATTCTACATAACATCATTCCATTGCTTTAGGTTACGATGCACAATGTAGATATTATTAGTTATATTTGTATCCATTTTTTGTATATTTATAATAATAACTATGTCATTGGATTCAACTTAGGTCCAAGGGGAAAATCATCCAATGATGGCGAGAGGGAGTATCAGACTTACTGATTAAAAACCCCGTTCTGACTCCTGCTTTGAGTTTAAGTTGTCCAAAACGGAAACAAACAGTACAATAAATAAAATATTGACTGCATTTATACACAAATGAAAGTATTTAAATGATAAATATAATAAATAAAATATTGTTTATACACAAATGAAAGCATTTAAACAGAGTAATACCTTTATTGTTCTCTTCGCACGCATGTTTTTTCTGTAAGAATTTCAAGATATTCTCATGGCTCATTTATACTTCCCAAGAGACTATATCAATATCTATATGTATACTATATCCCCGAGGAGACTCCAGCTTATCACTACTAATGGTATCAGCTGTAGATTGTCTATCAGTCACTTAGTAATTCCGATCTTTCTGACTGGATTTTGGTGTTGCTTTGTTCTCACACAATTATACCAACAAAACTATATAACTAGATAATTGTATTGTGATCCTAATTGAACATATAACCTGTCGAGTTTCTCGCTCGTTCTTTTCCATAGAAACCTCTACCTTGGAATGGGCAAATAGCTTAACTTTAAATCAAAAGTGCCTGGTCTAATTGAAAAAAATGATTTTGATTTTGACTTTGAATACTAAAGTTGTACCACTATATTCCTCATAAATCGGGATTAGGAACATGGTGTAAAATATCTTCGGACATAAATTTCCATCGCGTCGGCTCCAACGATAAATATTAGCTCGTTCATAATTTCAACCGTAGCTAATATTTTTGATGCATGATATACATGTTGCTTGTTCGGATGTGCCATATGTTATCGTCTTGTTGTGGAAGGAATATTATTATGTGTCTGGTTTAGACTGCCTCGTTGGCCGAGTGGTCGCAAGTGCGACTGCCGGGCAAGGGGTCTCGGGTTCGATTCCCGGGTCGGAAAAGGAAAATCTCAGAAGTAGCACGGAGTCTGGAATTTTGCCCGGTATATATATAGGCTCACCCCCTATTACATGGGACTCATGTGAAAAGTGGGTGTTACATTGTACAGTGGCATAATGTGCACCTCTGCTTACCCCTTCGGGGATAAAAGGCGTGATCTTATGTTATGTCTGGTTTATGATTGATTCATTTAAGGGTGACTTTAAAGGTCTGACTGCACGGTTGGTGCGGTGGCTGGGTAACCGGCTGCTGTGCAACGTGTCGCGGCTTCGATTCCCGCACGGAACAACACTTTGTGTAATCCACAAATTGTTGTTTCGGGTCTGGGTGTCATTGTGTATGTGAACTTGTATGTTTGTAAACGCACCCACGACACAGGGGAAAATCCTAGTGTGGGGCAACGTTTTTATTAAAACAAAAAAAAGAAAGGGCAGTTATATTATTTTTATTTTTTTAATATTTAGTTTGATATCTGTAACATGCCTGTTTCATTTATTGTACTTATCTTTTTTTTAATGAATAACAACGTAACTAGGGATGCAGGGTGCTTTACCCGCAAGGGTAAAGTCGCCATTAGAAATCGTAGCCCTGGTTTAGGATGGCAGTAGGAACAGGGTGGTTTTTAGTCATGTCATCTTCTAATGTCATCCATCCAGGACAATAGAAGTCATTTGATGATTTTCCACGCCCAAAAAAAGATGTGCAAATTGATGTATTTAAAATATGTATAACTAAAACGAACCTTTGCAAAATCAAACACGTATATAGACAATATATCGACAGTAATCTACAGCGTTAACCATGCAATGATTGAGAGATTGAAACAACATAATCCGTTGTCTCGTCACAATGACGTAAGTTGTACAGAACAGAAGACGATCGGTCACCGTGACATGATTGTCTTGCAACGATTTGTGTTCAATCTTAAAGTGGTAGCTAACTGCTTTTGTACAAGGCATTTTTTTATTATTGTTTGTTTTAAGTGGAATTTGACTGCTTATTTCACGCGGTGGCTGGGCAACCGGCTGCCGCGCAATGTGTCGCGGTTTCGATTCCCGCTTAAAACAAATCTTTGTGTGATCTACAGATTATTGTTCCGGGTCTGGGTGTATGTGTATGTAAAATAGTATGTTCGTAAAAGTACCCACGATACAGTAGAAAAGATTAGTGTTCAAGAAAAGATCAAAGTTTCAAAATAAATGTGAATTATCTTTATTATCATCAACAACGACACTGCTAGACTGTCAGCCTCGTTTGCTTGGGGGTTTCTGTAATCTCCACAGTCGATGAATGAAATGAAGTCTAATCACCACTACACTCGTCAATCAGTGAGACAGTACAGGAGATTAGACAGATCACAGATTAAACAATCTTTTTTAAGTAGTGAAAATCATCGAATGAATTCCCCCGTCTGGGAGAGGTAGAAAAGAGTGTCAGACTCTTACTGACTAAAACCCACCCCGTTCCTTCTCCTGCACGTCGAGCCGGAGCCCCGGTTACCCGTGAGGTTCTCCGCGACGTCTGAGAGAGATAGGAGGGATTGTCAGACTCTTACTGACTAAAAACCACTTCGTTCCTCCCCCTGCACTTCGAGCCGGAACCCCGGTAACCTTTTACGTTCTCCGCGGCACAGTTTAAACAGTGCGTATTATTTGTGAATATTGGCAATTTATTTATTTATTTCATTTTTATTTTAACACTTTATGTAAAAATGTGTATAGAATGGCAGGCTTAATGCCGAGTGGCATTCTCTACCAGCCAACCGCAGGGTGATGCAGAGAAGTATTACAGTAGGTTATAAACGAAATTTGTATCTATTGGAAAAAAACAAGGGTGATAAATGAACGTATATATTTAGGTATTCCAGTACATAAACTACATACCAATACTACATATTAATATGAAACACATTTACGGTATTGTAATAAAAGAAAATAAGTATTTTGAAATATTATATACATAAGAGCCTATAAACCCTGAAACAGTGTTTCAACTCTTTCAGTCTTATCACCTTTTCCTAGAAATCCAATTTTTGAAGTATGCTTAAGATTTTTGCTGTGGTTTTTAAGCATAAGGAAAGTCCCATAACGCCGGACGGCTTCAAACGCCGGACACTTGTATTATCTCGATAACTGATAACACGAGCACTTCAATTTTTACTAAAAATCTTAGGTGTCTGCCACTGGGAGACTTCCCCCTAAAAATTGAATTGCTCGCGTTGTTAGTTATCGAGATAATACAACTGTCCGGCGTTAGGTGCCACTATAATTAAATAAAATTAATCGTAACCAGTTATAAGTGTGACTGAAAGTGTTAAGTAGGTAAGTAACCAAAATATATATTTATCTTTATAAGGTTATTATGAAAGTCTAAATTACATTGTTATTATAAGTTATATGTATGCGTGTTTGTTCCCATGCTTTATTAACTCTTTTCTAGTCACAAAACATGGGTTAATTAATACCAAATTTCTATTTTAGAAACTCTTCATTGTAGGCTAGCTGTTGCCTGCAACTTCTGCCGCGTAAAATAAGTTTTAATGTTTTTAATTTTCTAAAATAAAAGTAGCGTGTATTACTCCTTGGTACATCAGCTACCTGCCAATAAAAGTCTTGTAATTTGGTCCAGCCATTTATGGGATAAGCCGGTAAACGAGCAGACGGATCACCTGATGGAAAGCAATCGGTGTCGCCCATGGACACCTGGAACACCAGAGGCGTTACAAGTGCGTTACCGGCCGGTTTGGGGATTAGGAGTTTGAGGATCGTTGGGGATTCAGGAATTGGGGCGATTGAGGAAGGGGAGGGTAATTGGGCCTCCGGTAACCTCACTTACTCGAAGAAACACAACACAAGCGCTGCTTCACGTCGGTCTTCTGTGAGGCCGTGGTATCACTCCGGTTGAGCCAGCCCATTCGTGCCGAAGCATGGCTCTCCCACACACAGCTAAGCCAATACAAATAGACAGATTAATTTACAAAAAAAGTAAAAAAAATTTTTTTGGTAGATACATGTTTTGTATGTATTATATATTAATGTATTA